TCCTGAACAAATACAATACATTGTCAGTCAGGCTACATCTTTTGGAAGGACATCAAAAAAACGAGCTGCGGTCTCCTCAGAAGACCATGATGAATATGGAGATAATTATTCGCATACTTCGTTTATTACGACATTATCCTATATCTACCTCCTCAACTGATACATCCACTGTTATTATCATAAAACAAGCAAAATTATCGACATATGTTGGCGTCCACCATTACGTGCACCCGAAATACCAAAATTTGAACGTCTCGTCCTCCGTGCAACAATTTACAATTTCCGAAGTAAAAGCATTATTCCATTTCCTCTGTCCGCATGTGAAGTTACCAGAACGAAAAACACTTGCCGGTTGCATTTTGAAGGATGCCAGCACAAACGACGATTACGGATCTTGCCTGCAAAGATCAAATAGGTGTGACAATCGCCTTTGATGGATGGCGCAACATAGTACGGCAAGAATTAATGGGTGTAGTGTTTATTACATCTTCGGGAGAAGTCTTGGTTTAGTTTAGGGTGCCGAGGACATTAGTATTGAACGGCACAGACAAACAGAATTGATTAACAGGATTCAAGTTCTACTGGAAAAGACAAAGGAATTAAATATAAAAGTAAACTGTCTTGTAACAGATTCAGCATCATCTTATTATTATGCAGCTGCTCGCCGTTTCTTAAGGAAGGAAATGCGTGATATAGTATATTAGTACAATAGAGAATTGGTTTATTTATTGGTTTGAAGATTGCTGCAAGTTAAAAATAAAAATAATGTCGAAGCATTTATCTAAAATAAAAGCACGATCTCGACTGAGTACAAAAATAAGCGTAAAATTTGTGAATATGCTAAGTGACATCTGAATGTGATGATATTGCAAATTATTTTAAATAAAAGTTTAATTTTATGATTGATTGTTCAACTGTTAGCAAAATCTTGTTCAAAAAAAGACTTACAAATAAACAGAATTCTAACATGCTTCAGTATCGTTAATTTTTTAATTTGATGACTATTGTAAATCTCCCTTCTATACAGCCACACTCCCATACAGTCACAAGCGTAAGCATTGTTTGATGATTAATAAATGGGTGATGTAGAATGTGGTAGATTTTTAATTTCTTAAACTATACTTGCATATCGGGAAGTAGTGGTAGTGTTGGATTTTTGCGAGGAGGGTGACTGTGGAGAGTGTCTTGGTACTGCAACTGTCATGTGAAACAGAATGTCTATATCGTAAGTTCGGAAAAAGGAACACTTTGTCTCCCGATTGTCAGTCGCTTATTCGTTAGTTCAGTTGTAGCATTTACTAGCCTGACTACGTTTACCGTTTGTTTTACTCTCTTGAGTTTGTAACAGTATTGTATTCATTATAGGTAGCTTGAAAACATCGAACATTAGATAGTTTTTTTGGTGGACTTGGCTAACACTACTGTGATTGTCATGATATCGGATAAGAGTATTCTACTAGGGCAGACTCATGGTTTGTTTATCGAGATCAGTCTTAAAATTATTATTATACGCGTGGCCCGCAGTAAATTTCCACATCCCTACTATTAGCCGTTTGTTATTAATGCAAGCTAATAAACAAATATTAATATGAAATCTCGTCTCTAATTAATAAAATCTTTTGCAAGTCTTATATTATAGGTCATTTACCATGATTAACATCGAAGTCTTTGCTTAAATAGACAATCTTATATGCTAGACTAATAAAAATCTGGTGACGAGACTTTGAGCGATACAGCCGTAGCAACTTGCCAATGGAACCGTTGAATTCTCGCATTAGAAGAAATCAATCCCTAACTTGTCCAACCGAGTGTCTCAATGAAATACCCGTAATATGAACGGATAATAAAACATTAATAATACTATTAAAATGTCTCGGATCATTGATCACTATTCTCTCGGTTCAATAACACCGTATGAATCGATTGTTCACTTCTACACTTACCCAAAATTAAAAAGCTCTGTTCTGTTGAGAAGAGTTTTATACATCATTATCAGTGCCTGTTTTGTGGGAAATATAAATATTTTTTCAGTCATGGAGAAACATGTATACAACAATATGTTCAGGT